GTGTGTGTGTGTATAAAACACTGGCTATACGAATATTTGTACTCGAGAACTTGTGCTGACAAAGAGTTGTAAATGTTACTAAATATAGACCACTTTATTCCGTAAACCGATATTCTACTTAGTATGACAGCATCTACCCGAACACCAGATGATGGCCGACAAGGCGTGCCTAATACACGCATATAACAACCACTCTAACACGGAAAGAATATCGACAAGATTTATGAGGTGAACCCAAACACCAACCACTTAAACACGGAAAGATTATCGACAAGGTTTATGAGGTGGACCCAAACACCAACCACTTAAACACGGAATGAATATGAAACAGTTTATGAACTGCACGCATATACCAACCACTTAAATACAGTGAGACTATCAACGAGGTTTATGAAATGCACTCAAAAACCAACCACTTACATCCATGAGACGCAAATGCCCCATGAACTGGTATTCGGTTACATTCTCGTCGCTACGCATAGGGGGAACCATCTGGTTTATCTGTGTGTGAATAATAGAGTGCGGCAGACGGACGTTTTATGAGTGAGTTCTGTGTGATACTATGCTTTACGCTATTACTGCTAGGTATGGCGTGTTTGATGTGCATATTGTTTGCTTGCATCTAGTATTGTGACTGTGTTCATTGACGGTGCGTGTTTAACTAGGCAAGTTAGTCTGAGGTCAAGGCTCACACAGGTACTTGGCACTCCGATACCACTATGTGCATAGACGGATCATATTGCTCATGGACGACTGAATTGTACAGTATACCAGTACCTGATGTATGAGGATTTATAGTAGTATATATATATATATATATATATATATATATGTGTGTGTGTGTGTGTGTGACTATTCATGTATAGAACATTTAGACCTCACCACACACACCTTCATGAAGTCGTCCGTGCTGTCGATAGATGGTATGCAGTAGATGCCGTCGAACTCCAAGCACCCGTACATGGCAAAGTGCGGGATGAAATAAGCCATACCATCCAGGTTGTTTATCTGGAACGCTGTCTGTGGAGGCAGAGGTACAGTGTCAATGCAAACCATGTCAGTTCAAGGCTCTACAGTGTAGGTGCGTGTCAGTGATACTATGAAACGTACGTGACGGAGCCCTACAGATCAATACAGAGACATATGAATGTTTAAGTGGGATGTACACCACTCGACTGCCGCTGAATAGACCCGGCACGCGGGCAGTGGTGGTCTTTGGTAATAAGATTCAACAGAAACAACGGCATTGTTTAGATTCAATGCGCACTCGGCGGTATGTACGCCTGTATTGTATATGGTAGCTTTGCTAGTTCAGCGCTATGGTTCAGTAAGTAAGCCGGAACCAGCATACACTCACTGTACATTCGCCGCTATGCGTGTTTTCAATATGTACGGTCTCGTTCACACAGGCGGAACTCATGCGAATGCTGCAGTGGTCAGAGTGTCTATTGGGAAGGGCTGGTCTGTTTGTATTGAATTGGACCATACCAATACGCACGGATAAGACACTTGACATGCCACAGTGATGTGTGACACGCACTATGTATGTCAGCACTCTACAACACTCCGCAGTAGATAATCGCTGGCATCGTGTGCTCTGCTCTAGTAAGCAATCGATATCTCTATCACACTATCGTGATTGACTGTCAGCTTCACACCCGATTGGAAGGCTTCATTCATATACACCGCAAGTGGGGGAGGACGCGACCATTGCAACAGCAGACCCTCTGCAAGTAAGAAAAGGCGTATGAATCAAATACCTACACAGGCAATGTACATAGCCAGCACACAGCCATAAAAACTATGGTCATTAAATAAATACGCCTCCAAAACAACATGATGAATTCCCTCTAACCGTTTGTTTCGTTCACCCGTTTACGTATTCCATCGTGTGCTACAAGACGCATGAAAGTAGTAGTACGATTACTATACATACTTGGACAATCGGCAGAAGTTCCGCCTGCTGGTGCCATGGGTTTGTGCGTTTCGGGCTCATAGGGCGCCTGCACCCAACAACTCACTGTCCACCAATACCCTGCATGTGAAATCCAATGGAAAGGAGACAACATTCCGTTTTAGCATAGCTTAGATCGAAGTTCGGTATATAGCTGACAGTTGAATAACAACCCCACGAAGTATGTCTCGTAAAGTTGTTGGTGCTAAACCCTATAATGCGCCTTAAGATTCACTACAGCGAGCTGTGTCCTGAACAGAATCGATGTGCATCTGGACCAAAGTTAGCACAACGGAAAGAGGAATGTCTGCTAGATACACATGCACTAGTGTGCCTAGTCTCATTTGACCCTATTTCTACTTCGTATGATCGGTTGTTCGTGTTGTGGTTGTGGATTCATATGTGGTTTAGTGGGTGGGAGTTGCTACGAACGAAGCACGATATACAATTGATAAGTATGTGGACATACGTATCATGTATGAGTCCTGGCTTCAAAACTAGTACTTGCAAGTAATCAATTCGAAATATAATATATATCTGGGTGTACGTGCGCATTCTGATATTAGCATTCTCAAGCAATCAATCATTAAACGTCGTGGTCCATGTACGTTGAAGTTTGAATATAAATACCACTGTTTCAATCGAGTGCCATCCATTTCATTGTAAATCTCCTAGTATTAAAACAACACGCATCTCTCACGGGCACACCTGACCTCAACATATGATCCCCAAAGCTTACCGTCTGCAAATTGCCAACCACTTGGCTCATAGACGGGTGCAGGGTAGTCTCCCAAGAACTCATGCTCATCGAACCCATCGGTTCCGTTATATCCGATAAGCTTCCCCGGGGCAGAAGCGGGATTTGTAACAATGTCGTCGAGTGTGGTATTGGTATTATTGACCACATTATCCACAATCTGCTCATTTTCACTCAATGTGTCATTCGCTACAACCACAACAATGTCAAGCACGTCATCTATTAAGCCATTGTCACCCACCGTTTCATCGATCACATCCACAACAGTATCAGGCAAATTATTTACTAAGCCATCCTCCCCTAATGTTGCGTTGATAAGTCCATTTACTAAACCATCTTGTCCCAGAAGGTCGTCAACCAACCCATCCTCGCCCAGGAGGTCATCGCCCAACCCATCATCGCCTATTGTTGCATTCAGCAGGCCTTCAACTATACCATCTCCACCCAGAAGGTCATCAACGAGACCATCCTCGCCCACAAGACCAATAAGTAGACCGTCACCTCCTGACGTTTCGTTCAAAAGGTTATCAACTATACCATCCCCACCCACCAGACTATTTACTACACCATCCTCTCCTAATGTTGCATTCAGAAGACCACCTACCACACCATCCTCGCCCAAAAGACCACCAACTGTGCCATCATCCCCTAATGTTTCGTTGAGGAGATTATTAACAACACCATCTTCACCCAAAACGCCATCGACTAACCCATCCTCTCCTAATATGCCACCAAGCAATCCCCCTCCATCGCCTGATGTATCGTTTGATTGGGCACCTGATTCCGTCCCATTGAGAGGGTCATTTACTATGTTATCATCTCCCAATGTCACGTTAAGGAGACCACCAACTAGACTTCCTAATAGTCGCCGGTGTAATATCTTGTTTTGTTTTTCAGCCAAAGCTTCAATTTTGAGTTTGCTTTCCACGTCAGAAGGCTTGCGATCTACCTCTAGCCCCGAGACCGTCCTAATAGTACTAGGGCATAGAGCGAGCAATAAAACTAAGTGTAGTAAGCATATACGAGACTGGGCTATCGTGGATTATACACTACACGATGAGCTGTGCGTTAAGACTATAAATTGTAATGAATGGTGCAGGTTCCTGTTGCTGGTACAGTCGCATTGATAAAATTCTATGCAATTCCTATGTTCTCAGATTAACGCGCGCACAACATAATACAAGCTAAACCTCTAGAAAGACTGTCCATCGACAAGCGATTTGTATTTGTACCAACAGTACTTATATTTGCCGTGAGATCAGTGAAATATAGGATCAGCTGTCGAATTCTATTTGATAGTTAAAAAAAATTGTATTTCTACAAAGTGAACCATTTTACAATTTACGTACTTTTTAGCATGTACTGCAAAAAAAAAAGCAAAGAAGTACCCAATCCGCCAATAACAATACTTGTCCAAGGAAGGGTGAACGGCGATTAGTGAAGGAGAGTGCTCCATCAGCTATTTGCATGCAACAATGCGTATGATTGGCTAAACATAGAAAAACAGTATTTTTTGTAAAGAAAAATTATATATCTACTCCACTGGTGACTGGTTGCTTGTATTTTTATTTTACAAACGCACATATGTGTGTGTGATAACTGCAGTGATAACTGATATGTCTCTAGCCTCGATTTATACAGCTGATATAAAAGCAAATATTTATTTAGTAAAAACATCGTATTACTTGTTAGAGTTTCTTCGCGAAATCGCGATACGACCCGATAAAATTGTACAATCCTGAAGGCCAATGGGTCGTGCACCACTGTACGTATGTACCATGATATAGTTCGTATCGCACGTTTACTGTTTTGTATCATGAAAATGTGAAACGCACACTCGGAATGGATCATCACTTGAACAATGTTTCGGACCACATAAACACCAAGTTCAGCATCTAACGCATATATAGCATGTTCACGGGCACTTGATAATTTTAGAATACTTGAATTAGCTTTGTGGCTACAAAATTCACTATTCTTATATACTATGCAAGTTCGAAATAGATCTTCCAATTAAATCTATTAAACAATTATTTATATTATATACTAGAGTAGCAATTCGATCTGCTATTCAGTGAACGAGACAAATACAGGGCCTTTTCCTCGTGGCCAGCAGTATCTCATGACTTCACGGACAAGTATAAAATGTTACAAACGTGGTTTTTCCTTTCATATTTCACATTTCGTTTCACAAATCTTTTACGAACGACACATAACAGCTTGAGATTATCCTCGACACATGAGATGTAAGATGGACGTCTTCGGTTCTTTTAAGATGCCAACGACTGCGAAAAAGACTACACTATGTCGATATTGGTCTAAATTTAGCCAAACCCAGAATTTTTTAATTTCACAAATACTGATATAGCTGCTACACTCCACCTCATACCTGCATTGACATTGTTCGGCAACACTGACCACTGATAAATATACAATGAGAACCGTATAATAACTCTTATAATCTCATTGCGACTACCGGCCTCTGATATTGAGTTTGACTTTGATAATAAAAGATAGGGCCTGAAAATTGTTCCAAGACATGCCTAGCGGATACGACTTCATTTCACTTTTTCTATATATCATGATGAGCCTCGTAGGTTAAATAAGTACGAATCGATCGATATATTAACTTGTAGTTGCGATAAATTTATACCGATTAAAACGGAACACACATGTGATAACGCCTTGCGCAACCAAACATTTGCTATTTGAGGGCTGTGGCCTGTTGAATGTGATGACATAGCTGAACTGAACGTATTTGGTGAAGGGAAGACATTCAAAATAATGTCCTACGGACTCGTCCGTCATCCCTCATAGACTCATATTTTTACCTTCTATTCTCTACTCTAGATGGTCTTGAAATAAACCATCACTTTTTGTATTTATTTACATATTGATGTTGTTGTTTTTTTGTTGTTGTCTTTTTGAAAAAAATGACATGACGCTTTAAAAAAAAAATTTAGGTGACGTAGACGTCTGGTCTGAACATGCTGTATTTTTAAACAATTTATATAGAGGCAACAGGTATCTATTTCAAAAAATAGTGCATGTATTGCACATATGTACCAGATATATATCAACAGAAGAGCACAAAGACAATCGGTTATAGCCGTACATTGTGAGCCAGAGAAACGTCGTCCCTCGCTGAATGATGTCGACTCAGATGCACTAATAAGTATATTTGAGAAAGTGAAGTTGGCGGTCATTCCAGCCCTGGCATCGACGTGCAAACGATTCCAACAAGTTGTTGAATTTGATACGCTCAAACGGAAGGTACAGTAATTATATAAATAGGAAACAATCGAACAGTAACCTTTGAATCATATTAAAAAGACGTTCAAGCTACCCTATGCCCATGTATCGATGGTCTGTACCATTCAAGGCTATATATCTTAGTCTCTTGCATAGCTGCCCTAGCTCGTCGTCTGCTAAGTTTTCTATTGAATAAATACATTTCACCCTATCCGGCAAGCACCGTATGCCTGTCAGAAGTCGTCTGCTTGTGGAATAGTTGGTCTGAACCAACGCACCTTAGACTGGTGATATACGGCATACAATATCTATTTATGTGTGTGTACCTGAGATAGCGATCTACGACATACGTTATGTATGCTTGTAGCCGATGTATTATACGATATATATTTATGTGTGTGTACCTGAGGTAGCGATATACGACATACGATATATATATGTGTGTAGCTGAGGTACATATATGTGTGCTGAGATGGTCGTATTCGTGTACCAGGTATTAGCCCACGAAGTCTACTCATGTGACACATCCACCATAAGCAGAAGTGAATTTATTTGAACAGATACATCCAATAAGTGTTGATGTCTTATACGTCTACCCAAATAAATATGTATGCTTGCACATACGCCGTTATTCGTAATTATTGCCCGCATCCGCCATGATTCGCTACCCCGACGATTTTCTTCTTCTTAGATTGTATGATTTCAAGTATATGTTCTTGTCTTTTCATACACTCGTTTTTCCAGCAGCTGAATACGCAGTACACAGATATGATTCGCGTTCAATCATACTGCAACCGTAGCTAATTCGACTGACCGTTTGCCCTGTATTTTACTATGATTCTATCTTGTACACGATGAGATATGGCGATTGTCTGCTGATAACTATGTCCTGGACTTTGAAGGTGACGTACTTAGTAGTAATGCCGGCAGGATTGATGCGATATTGGCTGAGTCTAAGGTGAGTATTAAATATACCGAAGAGAAAGACGAGAAAGACCTCGAGAGCGTATCCGCCGAATCTGTGGTGTAGTAAAGATCGTATATGTACATTCCAACACACGAGAACGGTTGTTCAAATAGGATGCATCTTGTTTTTATTTAAGAAGGAGCAGATCGAGTAGTTTTATGCTTAGTGTGTTAGTGTCTACTTTCTCTGTGCGTAATATACTGCCTGTTTGATGATATATGAATGTCTTTTGGCTATGCTGTATATGTGCTACTGCCTCGGGTGAAGTCGGACAGGAAGCGCCGCATTGCCACATCTCACACAATTGGTAATCTTGCATATATATATATATATATATATGTGTGTGTGTGTGTGTGTGTGTGTGTATGTATGTATGTATGTATGTATGTATGTATGTATGTATGTATGGATGGATGGATGTATATATATAT